GGGCTACCCAGCTTGGGCGGGTGGTAGCTGTCTAATGAAGAGCGAAAACTTCTCCTACCATTGAGAGGAAGTCCGTTACCCCACTCCTACTTCCATCTAACAGGGACTTTTTGACCGATGGACTGCCCTTCAGCATGTTTATTTGCTGGATTGTCCTCTCCAGCGGTGAAAGTGGATAATCAAAGGAAGCCAGGAGATTCCCAATCAGCTGGCCTTGTGAGACTGAGCTTTGTCCGGCTCGTTAACCTTTCGATCTGAGGCTGTGAAAAGCCATCCTGTATAGCTCGCATGNATGGTCATGGAAATGCGCAAATCCATCACACTACGTCAAGGCACAGTATCGTTGGAATGGATTTGCTTTGATATTCAACAACCGTTCACACCAGCACAATAGACCAATATTACACGACAGGATTAAATTTTTCACAACCGCAAACCAATCAATACTCTCGAATTACAAACCACTTCTGCTAGCACAAGTGAACATACCATGGAAATGTAAGGTGCTTTCGCAATGGGTGGTGGACGAATGTCATTCTCATGATCCAAACCAAGAGGGAAAGTTGACGTCGTCAGTTCTTACTACCTATACCGTTCGATGCTGTTCAAATGAACATGGTTTAACTCCCAGTGGATGCGAATAAGAGTACGAATCACTATTCCAAACGGTGGATTGGTGAAGAAATCAAAAAAATAAACTTTAAAATATATGGCATGGGGAAATAACTGATGAGTTTCTGCATGCAAAAGCACACACACGTACACGAAAAAAGCTCACACTCATAAAGGATCATCAGATCTACGTTATCTAATTTACTACTCGGGCCTTAGGAGTGGTGGTGGTCGATGATGAAGTCACCAAACTATCAACCCGGAGGATGTGTTCGAATCCCACCATATCGCCTGGCTCCCCATTGTGTTTTATGGCAGCCACTAGGTTCTCCGCTTCTCGCTTCCTCAAAATTGTATCATTATGTAAAATAGATAAAGGAAGAAAAAGAAAAGACCACGTCCAAGCAAACAGATAAATAAGTGAGCGCTAAATTGACGGTATTTCCTCAGTTTTGAAGCTCACCGGAGATATCATATGCAGCAATTTTCGTTCCACTCTCCGTGTCGATGCCCAGATAGCGGCTTGTAAATTGGCAAGAGACAAAAGCTAGTGGTCCAATGTTGTCGGTTTCGGATATCTCAAATGTGGCTTCACCGTCTGTTTTTGTGACATTCAGTGGGGACAAGACCTTTATGAGCACATCGTAATTTGTTCGATCCTCTCCGACGGAGCAGGTTGCGGTGAATGGCAAAGTTTGTGATCTTACTTGGGGTAAAATTTGGGTTTCTGTGTGCGGATCTTGATCAGAACAGGATGAAATCACGATTTACAATCGATTTTTTTTAATAAATGAGGGCTGATGCCAAGTGCAATAATTAACCTTTTCTCAATTTATCTCTATACAATAAAGTAGTAACTACTTTATAGTCCAATGTTAAATTGACAAAGACCTTGATTAGATAAAACAGATAAAGGTTTGTCGAGATACATACTACTTGTACGAAGACGAAGATTTGCAGTATGGTTAAAGGACAGTTGAAAAAGTTTAAAAGTCGACTGGAAAACCTATAACATCTCCGAAGAATGCGACTTTCTGACAATGATTTTACTGAAATAAGGGAAAATTTCTGTATCCTATACCATCAAAAAGGACACAATGAACCTGAAAGATGAATTATATTTTTGTTCACAAATTATTTAATCTCAATGAAGTGTCGCAAAAAAACCGTTAGAAAAAATGGAAGCTACTTACAAGCTCATACACAGAACAAGTATAGTACATCTAAAGTATTGCTGGTCTGGTTATGAAGAACGATAATAAGGATCAATATAGCGTACATGCCCGCTCACATTGTGAGCAATTAGCCGTGCGAACGGGATACGGATTTTCTGTTCTGACTATGGCAATGCCTACAAATCTGATGAAAGTTACTGCCGAGCAATTTTGCACGCTACCCAGAAGGTACTTACCGCAGGATTCGGTCACTAATCCCAGCTACTGTATTTTTATTCAATTTATCCGATCGGGGGGACGGATTTTGTGGTCTCACTCATGAAAGAAATGGGAGTGCAAGTGTGAAAATGCGGAAAGATATTTTTCGCTAACCGTAGAATGACAATGGATCCAAAAGGTTATGTTCTTAGGGCTTAACTCATGGTTTTCATGTCTTTGACGGAGCATAGCACCACAGAAACCGGTAGATTTTCAATTTTCTTCCGTTTTTACCTTCTAAGCACTTATCAGTTTGTCCGAGCAGTCCCACAGAGATCATTTCAAATACAGCAAGGAGTGGTGAACAAGTTACTTTTCAGTGATTCATAACCATGTCAAATAACTCCCAATAAATATTAAGCTGTTTATGTATGTGGCAATATTCAACCATGAAAAAAACAATCAATTACTTTTAGAAAGGGAAATAACATCACAGGTCAACTGGGGCTAATTTTGTCTTAGGACCGGATGTGGGATTCTCAATGATCACATAATTGTTAGGTCATTCGATCGTTGGAACCATTCGGTATGTGGGGTGTGTTCACGGATTCGTTCCGCAAAACCCGCGACCATGTGGCCTATGTACGTTGTTCCACAAGAACACGTAAATTAGTACACAAACTTTAATTACTTAAATTCTATCGCTTTGTGCCTAGGCTCAGTGTCCATGCTCCCGAACGATCACTACAAACCCTTAAATGATCCTAGGCAGTAGGCAATATTGTAGTCACCATGATAAAACTCGCATTACACAGCAAGACTGTGGTCAATGTTAGTTCTCTGAGGCCAGAAAATGAATCTCAAATCGTTTGGGCGAATATCCTGTCTGACAGACACAATGAAGAGTGAATGATGGAGCCAAATGATAATGAATAAAGGGAATATGCGTATAATTATTCTATAAGCAGACGTAAAAACATCAATCGTGGTGAAATACAGAATTAAGCCTGCGAAAAGATAAGCGTTTGTTTCCCCACCAATTCAGGCGTCCCCCCCCCCTTGAACTAATTCTTCCTTTTACAGCCCCGCAGTCGTCGTTCTGTATGAGGCGGCATATCCGCATCTGCGTGAAATAAACAACTTCAGCCAAACCACTCGAAGTCAGTTCAAGGAAAATCAACAATACCGTGTAAGATAGCTTAACCAAAGTGCGAAAACCGTCACCATTCATTGGATAAAGTACTATCTAAGGAATCTTATCATTACATAATGATGTCTTTTTACCTCCTTTTCAATTTATCGAATGCACAAATAAATGTACAGTCAACTTTCAGGAAGGAGCTGTGGCCATACAACGGCCGCCCGGGAAAACAAAGAAATAGGGAAGACGGGCGGCGATGGAGCGGTTCAAACCAGGAACTTTCGGGTCACAGTTTGGTGTCCTAACCACTTGGTCATCACCGCCCACATCTATACTTTTAGAAGAGAACTGCAGACTCGCTCATTTGTCATACACAGCAGAGGAACATGCAAACCAGCAACCGATTCCAATGATCCATTGTTTTGAGAATAGCTTATTAAGTAGTTAAACCACTTAGACCTCATTTACGAAAAAACTTTTACTAAGCAATACCATGAGTAAACATTTCCCAGTGAATACTCTGAGCGACGCACTTCATGATAACGCATCATGTAGCAAGAATTATTGCTCCCCTTCCACGGAGGAACTGAGGATTTTCAAAACAGAGTTCATAAATGACAATATTTGCGAGCAGCATACATTTAGTCACTATCCTTAAGTATCTAATTGTTTCCAACAGTTTACCTGTGTTTTTATCCTCTATCATGCTCGTTGAAACTGAACGAGCCCACTTGTGAGTAAATATTCGGCAATCTGCTCGTGCTTGTATGTGTCATAAACTGCATCACAAACATTGTGATCGCTGGTCGTAAGTAGAGCGAATGGGATTATATTTCCTGTTCAATTCCCTCCTGTTTTCTTTCGTTCACTTACTTATAATCCTCAATAAAATGATTTTGGACAGGCATTTTGACTGGCCTACTGTAGAACACCGAAAAGTGCTTTCCGTCGGTCCGCCGTTATCCAGTTCCAGTTGATGTCTCATACCAATGATCGTCAAACGATAGGGCACATCTCCGTGCAGTAGACTCCATCGAATCGAGTCTTCCTCGGTCATTTTACCGCCGTGCAGGTGACAAAAGATTTTGGGCAACTCTTCTTTGGGCAAGTAATATTGTTTTTCTTTACCTTCATACTTGATAATAAGCTTGATTTGCGACTTTTCTGAAAAGAAGTGTTCAGTGTAATTATGTGAGTAAACAATGTTACATAATCATGTATACTATTCGGCTTCAGATGCGAAACAGAAAAACGGGCAAATTATGATGTGCTGTATGGAACTGAAAAAAGTGTATTCGGATGTGGTTTCCTTCGGAGCCTCCTGGGCTGAGGCCCAAAGATTCAGATTATCGTTGATTTCAAACACTACGGGATATGACATGGGATCGAGATCAGTAGCATGAATGTAGTGTTCCATGTTTACAATACCAAAAGGAAAAAGAAAAAATGTTCCGAAGTGTGTGTGGTAAAAAACACTTTTCTTATCCGACTCTCGAAATGAATTCATCTTTCTAACCTACACTTGCCTTGTAACTGAAAACACTTGATGTACACATTGGTATACACATATTCCATTTCAACAACCACATCCCCGCAGTCAAAGCTGGTTTACAAGCATAGCTGTTCACCTGCAGTTTTACACATGAGTTACGGACGATTACCATAACAGATAAAGCAATATACAGTCACATTCAGCATTATTTCTGTCACTACTTCAAATTTCACCTGGTGGTATGTGCTACAATAGTATTGCATATATACAACAGACAGGATAGAAATTCTACGAGTTCAACAGGTGGAACAAAATGGTAAGTTTCGAAGGAAAACCAAATACGACCCACATTCCCCAAACAATTGTGAGATATCATTCAGTCAGCTTGACCTAACATAAGACGGTGATGAAGGATAAACCTACAGACGCGTTCATATAGTTGATTCAACTAAAAGGCGCATTGCACACTTGAGCCGTTGGCTTGTGATCTGCCATAAATGACTTAGCCCATGTGCACAAAGCAGGCGCTTTGGAATAAGCCGGATTGAGAGGTACAGGCGTGTTGCATTTTTAGAAACGAACAAAAATCAAAATTTTATGACAACAATTAGAAAAATAGAAATGAAATATCAAAAATATCTTTTAAGAAACAATGTCTTATAACCCAAAGTATGTTATTTTCAGCGGACTTTTGAACCATTCAATTGTAGACTGATCACAAAATAATTGAGCACCAACTGTCCCAAAGGCCAGCAGACAGTACCTTCGGGTTAAGCAGAGCTGAATGCTACCAGACGCGTCCTCGGGTTGTGTATAGGGGGATACCTTCACTAAAGAAGGTTAGCTGTGAATAATTTGTGGCATACCGCAACAAATAAGCGGTCGCGAACAAACAACGGCAGCACTACCAGGGTGTGGTTGGTTTCTGGCTGGTCACCTGGCTTCTGTTCGAAAGCCTCATAAGCCCCATGACGGTATCGTGACAAAGGTCGATGTGACTGTCCATTTAAAACTAGTCATTGATCCCCTCACTTCCGAGGCGAGGGATTACTTCCTGCTGCTTTGCAGTTCGCACTTGGTTGTGCAGAGGCTAGAGGTGCGCCCTCCAAATCAAAAATTCCGAGCGACGCTGGGGACGTCCCTCGTACCAAACTCCCAAGGAACTCCATGAACGCGATCATGATTGTGTCAGAAGCCGGTTCATTCTTTCCAAGGAGCCAGCTGCAGTAAATTAAAGAAAGTAAGACATTTCCAATAGGTTTACAACACCAAGATTGTTTCTGTATTTCAGTGGGATGTTTTTCGAAAGTCACACATTCCTTTTCTAGATTGATCTAGAAAAAATATTCAGAATGTTTTTACACATTTTTGGATTCACCTCGAGGATAGTTATCAACTCCCGATTATTTACGCGTCGCCAAATGTCCCGCCATACTTCACTCGCTCCATACGATTCAGCACCACTACAGTGTGAATAATCGGGAGCTTTTTGATGGAACAATCAACTAGCTGATTGCATTATGAGACAACCGTACTCCGGCTTGGATAGCGTGATCACTAAAATGCTCGAGGCACACCGTTGTCTGTCTGTTGCTCCTATCCAATTGGTGACAGGACAGACCAAAATTCAACAAGCGAACAAACCGGAATTAAGTGGGACGGCCGATAACCGCCACTTGCGAATTGAGTATTCACTTGTTCGCAAGCAAACCTGTTAGTGTCTTCTTTAGTCGTAGTGAGATTAATCAGTTTGAGTGCGTCAACCACGTTAGCATTAGCAAACTGTTGATGATCAATCAATTGTCGATACAAGTGGCAATTTCAGATGCTATACCTAAATAGTGCAGCTTTTATCCACGGGAGTATCCGACTACGCATACTTTACAAAAAAAGTATTGCATCGATTTTGGGACACATTTTCATCTTTCCAAGGGACAACTCCCAGTGGTGATAAATTTACTTAAGTTATGCCCTTCACAGATGTACATTTATTTATATTCACATTTATATGTATTAGAAAATACCAGTCTCGTTCGAATAACGCGCTGTGAAATCGTTTTGCCTACACCAGATGTCATATGATTTCCAAGACTGAGATCATATTCAACATCTAGAATGTTACTGCAAAAGAAAAGTGCAGACTCTTTTCAATCTTCCAACAACATCTCCCGTTTTGAATAAATAAATCTCAGACCTCACTAATTGGGTTACCATGTCTGCATCATTGTTGGCAACCACAAAAAGTCAAAATAGAAACTGAGTGCATACGGACGGACGTACGCGAAACCTTGAATTGAAACGGTTGGCGCAACGAGATCCATGGGCGATGATAAAAACATTCGTACGAATGTTCGCCCAGAGAGGCTTCTTTATCGACTCTAATCTCATTGCCCATGATTGTCACGCGTGTGCGAAACCACAATGACCTCCAGCGGGGTTTGTTTACTTCAGAGCCCAACATTGAGTCGATCGGTCCCGTCAAAACACACACGTATTTGTGTCCTTCGTCATCAAAGACGGATTGTGCCTCCTGTCCGATTATTTCCAAACGAAGATCATTCGGATCTGTTATAGATTAGGTGTAAAATTTGAATAAATGAAAAAATCTCAGTTTGGGATTATAGCGGCAGTAGTGATGGATAAACTCGCGCTTCTTCAAGACCCAGAGGAGTTACCACTAACAAATCTCCATTCATAATTAGACCCAATTTTGTTACTCCTTTTAAAATCACTTAGATACACCAAGAAATCTATAACCGAACACTACAATTTATGTTGCATGAAGAAAGAAAAAAGGGTAAGAAAATAATTGGCATCCATCTCAACAAACATCTCATACAGGCGTACAAACTCCTAATACATGATCGGTCCTCATTTTCATCATTACAATGAAGTAAACTTCACCGATCCTTTTCAACCTCATAGTGCACACAAAGTAGATGAGAATGTGTAATTGGGATAGGGACCCGGCCTAATGTGAGAACATGGAAAAAGAGGTGAACCACTAGTGTAAACACAGAGCTCAAAATCTAACATAGCATACACTCTTTTCAAGCATTCCGGCCTGATAAGAAATCAAAAGAAGAAAAACACTGCGATCTGTTCACTGCCATGTCCTCCAATCAACCACTTACAAAGCGTTTTGGACCTCAACCTGGAAAAGTGGGATAACTAACCTACCTAACCGCTCAGTACATTTCTTCATGCCTCATCTCCACGTTATTTGTTAACCTTCACGTGGTTTCCTGCAACCAGGAACAGGATCAGCAAATAAGGCGTAGCTCAGGGTTTCGCATAATTTATCACCTGACCTATCAGTTTCTATGAAATTTCACGCTGGAGACAAAGGTGTTTCAACCTTGCGTACGCCGCTCGGGTATTCGAACCACGCGTGGCTACTTCCTTCACCATGCGATTGTCATTGGTCACGCAAATATCTAAGGGGAGGACACGGTTCACTAAAACCAATACTTGACCATTGAACATCAGAATCGAGGTAGCGTGACTGCACTTTGAAGGCGCCAAGTGTATACAAAACGAAGCTATGGAAGTTTAAGTTTTGTCAAGAGCGCTTTGCGTATCTTCCATACATTCAAACAGAAAAACGATATCATCAGCATACTCATTTCTTCAGCGGCCCATTCAATACCAAAATTTTGAAGACCACTTAATGTGTTCTCAGGCTGTTTTTCTGAAAGGAATTTCAACAGCACTGGCAAATTAGGGCATCCTTAACAAACATTGGTACTACCTTCAAACGATCTGATCAGCTCAGTGCAGACTCCTATGCCACCCAGAGTCTTCGAGTATAGTGAACTCAAAAGGTTAACATAATTCTGGGTTATCTTCTTGGTGGAGAAGCGAACCCAGTAAGGCTTCACGGTCAACTGAATCGAAAGATCCTTTGAGGTTNTTGATTTACGATTTTTGTGACGTAACTCGAGGATACCATGTAGTAAACTAGTAATGGAGTCAACAAGAGAGTCACACATTATTTCAAAAATAATGAGAAGACCGTGAAACTCAACTACTTTTCCTTTATATAACGATTAAGTACAAAGTAGTACTTCTGATTCTGAAAAGGGCTTACAGTTCACCGCCAATAGAGCTACGGCTGAAACCGCCGGAATAATCTCGCTAGCGCTAAGACGGTTGAACTTTTCACTGAACTACTCTGTCTAGCTACCAAGTCGTTGTTCTTTAGTGTGCACACTCTATCCACTATGATCAAAAATGGTCTCACTGACCGGTAAACCACAGATTTAGTGCTGCGTATAAAGTATTTGACTATTCCCTGATACACAAACCACTTTCATCTTACTAGCTATTCTGGCCCACCAGTGNAAGGCTTTAACTGAACTGACGTTCCAGATGCTACTTTTTCTTATGTTGATCCTAGCAGGCTGGGATCCTTCACTTTGGTTCCATTAGGATTATGAACTCATGAGAGGTCTAACTTCTTGGACAAATTCACAAGTGAGCTGCAATAAGCATCGTACATCTAATTTGATCCCACTGTTGATATGCTGCTCCACATCACGATGACCCCTCCCCCGGCGCTCTCCTGTCGAAGATTGGAGTCAAAGCGAGTCTGTAAACAGCTGGGTCGCGCAGTCGGTGAACTAGCTGAGGAGGCAATTTATTCCGATGACCGCCGAGTCGAACGACGAAGCACATCATAACTAGACCGTGATCAGACAAAACACAGGTGGTCCAATAGATTGTGCAATTCTGTATGTACTGAGTCACGCCAGTAATGCTTTACTACTATGTGGTCAATTCGAGTCAACTTACCCATTGAACTAGAACACCATGCTGCCATCCGATGAGAGCTATGTCGAAAGATTTCGCTAATTAAGAATAACTCATGATATGCGCAGGACTGAAGTAGTCAATGAAGTTTTCTGTACACTGGGCGGGCGGGCGAGACGAACTCTTCGACAGGATTAGAATGCACACAGGGTTCCAAACTAAGAATTAAAATCGCTTACCAGCACAATTATATCGGAGCTACTGCTCAGTTAGATTAGTCATAAAACTCGTCCTTTTGCACAGTGGAGGGTGCTCCTATGCGGAATTGATGAACAAACACCAGTTGATGTTGCTTCTTCTCCGTTCTCTAACTGAACCCTCGATGGATGTAAACGACTCTTGACGGTATCTGACCTATCAAACAGGCTTGGATGCACAACCTTTTCACCCGATAGGAACGTTGGTAACTGATGGACTCTCGTCCGTCGGTCAAGTCATGAATGCTGTTCACAAAATTTAATTTCTCTATTATGTTGTGTTAAGTTATTCCACCGATAACGGATTCCGGTAATTTGGCAGACAATTGACATCGTTATTTGCACATGTTTGAAATAAGTGATGAAAGTAGCCCGAATTTGGAAGTCCACACAGATTGCCATGTGATGATGTGATTGAGAATCAATCGGAAAACAAGCTCGCTCACCAGTCGGCGTTTCGTTTAAAGCGTGCTCTGTGGGACAGTTAATACAATTAAGACAATCCAACAACTCCCATTCACGTATCTGCTTATCGCTTTCCCATTTATACTTGCTCAAAGTGGTTTTGATATTTTTCATTTGTTCTTATTCACCAAGAACCGTGATAGCGAACAAAAGACACAATAAGTACCGACCAGCAAAACCACCGAGTGTGAACAAATAAAATACCAACCTAA